TTTTCGCCTCCCCCTCAAAAAAGATCACATCGTCCAAGGCTCTGGCTTGGCTCTACACCTGGGTAGTCCATGGTAGTTAGCAACAACTCCGACTACTCTGGAGGAAGGCATATCCAGGCTACCGAAGCTCCACGACTCAAGAACTCAGTACATACGTGCAGTTCCAAGTCATAAATTCCGCATAAGGCTGGCTTGTCGTACTGCAGGAAATTCGCATTACCAGCTTTGTATTCCTGTGGTTTAATAGCATTTTTATTTTTGGCCGGAGTACCTTTTTTTATTCCCCCACTTGCACTAGTTTGGGGGTCTTCAGAGGATGTCATCCATAGAAAATGCTACAGATTTTTCAAGCTAGTTAACACTGTCAATCTGTAATACAGACTCAAGACCATGGGGGACTGGCTACTAATTTTTGACCACTGATAAGGATATAATTAGTGTAACTTGATACAGGTACAGCAGACCTCAGTAAGGTAATTAGGTATTTTTGACCTGTACCCAGTCAATTTAGCTTGTGAAAAATCCCAAAAACAAATAAACAAATTAACAAATTTTTGCAGGACAGTACTGGTTCTGTGTATATACTATATACACTGCTCTAGTATAACATAATTAATGGGTGCCCTTTCAATCAACTCACTAAAGCCCCAATACATGTAACGTTACTTCCCAGAAGTGTGCAGTCTCCAGTTTCATGCTGAAGGTTGTTTTTTTGTGTTTGTTCCATACAGTGACCAGTGAACACCATGGATGTAGATCTCCTTCGTGCAGACCTGAGGAGCCATGGGCAGGAACACCTGCTGAGGTACTGGGACGAACTGGACCCAGAACAACAGCAGAGTCTGTACCAGGATCTGTCCAACACTGACTGGGCTCGAATCAACAGGTACAACAACATGTCACTCCTAAGGCCACACCAATTTAATTTCTTGGTTAACGGATTCGCCCGCTTCATTTTTTTCTGATTTGCAAATAAAAATAAAAATTCAGAATCAACTGCAAAATGTGAGCATTTTGCAGTTGATTCTGAATTTTTCTGAACAGTTGAAAACAGCCCTTTTCTTCCTGGTTGTTACAGTTATTCCATCTTTCAATGCAGTGGTACAGTTGCATGCAAAACTATTCAACCCCTCTTGTATTTTGGGGAATTTTGCCAAAACAAGGAAAATTACAACTGTAGAACATCCCTAACTCATGTAAGTGATTAACAGATAGTTTATTACAATTTGATATCAGAGAAAAAGTCAATATTATTTCATAGTTCATCTGAAATGGCAACTTTAACACAAAAAGCAGGTGGCAAAATTATTCAACCCCCTACGAGGATTCCTCTAGAAATTTGTGCAGCACCCCTGTAACTGCAATGGCCTGTTGCAGACGGGAACGATAGCTTGTCATGATATTCTGGCAGTGCTATTTAGGGATTTCGGCCAATTCCTTGTTGGTGAATACCTCCATCTCAGCAATGTTCTTAGGTCTTCCTGCTGCAGCAGCTTTCGTCAGGTCTCACCACAGATTCTCCATTGGGTTTAAGTCAGGAGACTGTGATGGCCACTCCAGGACCTTCCCGCCTTTCTTCTCCAACCAAGCCTTCATGGATTTCGATGTGTGCTTGGGGTCGTTGACTTGCTGTAATGTCCAATGACGCCCCAGCTTCAACTTCTTCAAGGACTTTGTGACTTTCTTCGCCAGAATATCCTAATACTTGGTTGAATCCATGATGCCGTCAACATGGTGGAGTTTCCCCAGTACCATTAGAAGCAAAACACACCCACAGCATCACAGACCCACCGCCATGCTTCACGGTAGGCAGGGTGTTCTTCTCTGCGTATGGCTGGATCCTCCTGTGCAAAACAAACCTCTGATCCATAGGACCAAAGAACTCAAGTTTTGCTTCATCAGTCCATAGGACAGTGTCCCAAAAGTTCTGTGGGTTTGACAGACTGGGTTCAGCATACTGGAGGCAACTTTTCTTGTGGCTTGGCTTCAGCAGCAGTATGCATCTTGGGGTTCTGGTATTGAACCCTTCAGCATGAAGTGTGCAGCATGCTGTACCACCTGAAACATCACTTCCTCCTCCAGCCAAGTTGTGTCTCAGGTCCTTTGCAGTAAGCCTGGAGGTTTTGTCCACCTGTTTTCTCAGGAATCTTGCTGTAGCTGATGAAATATTCTTCTTTCGTCCATGACCTCCGTGTTGCCACAGTACCAGATGCCTTGAACTTGCGAATAATGCTCCCAATGGTGTCTCTGGGTATATTAAAGAGCTTGGATATCCTCTTATATCTATTTCCTTTATTGTGTAATGCTACCATATCCTATTTAAACCTCTGGGCCAACTCTCTTGCTTTCACCATTTTACAACAAGAGGCATGTGAGCAGTAATGACACAAAGTGTGTAATACTACACATTTGGTGGAAAATTACAGGATAATACAAATATTATGGACATGCACATGTTACCTTATTGCATTACTAGTCTTTTTGGACGTGGCATGTTAGTTGTGATTCTCCATAATGAACCCTAGCTGATGAGTTGTATTGGGGTTGAATAATTTTGCCACCTGCTTTTTGTGTTAAAGTTGCTATTTCAGATGAACTATGAAATAATATTGACTTTTTCTCTGATATTAAATTGTAATAAACTATCTGTTAATCACTTACATGAGTTAGGGATGTTCTACAAATTCCCCAAAATACAAGAGGGGTTGAATAATTTTGCATGCAACTGTATCATTAAAAGTTCAAAATTCATCGTTTAAATTTTGAACCAGCCTGGTGTGTTGACTTCATGGCTCCTATCGTACCATTTTGGGTCCATAATAGGATGCCTTAAGGCCTGTTCTTATTTTTATTTTTTTTCGCCTGCTCACTCCATTATTTTTCTAGAAAAATCCGTTAACCAAGAAATTAAATTGGTGTGGCCTAAGGGACAGAAATGAAAAAAAAAGAACTAGAATTTGTGGACCTCTTGCCTCTATGAAATATTTAGAGCTTTCGTAAATTTGATGCAAATGACTTTAACATATTTCATGCATGGTGATGTTCAACACATGCCACAAGTATGAGATTCCCTCATTTACAAGTAAGGAGTCGTAGCATTTTTGTACTGATTATGAAAATTAGGACCTTACCAACAGAACTGCCATAAATTTCTCGTTACAAATTACATGTATTGAAGTCCTATTATGGAAAACAGCAAAGGTTAGGGTTTCGGGTTATTTTTTAGGGCTTTTCTTATCAGAGTTATTTTTTTGTACTGGAATTTTTTTCACCTTGAGTTGGGTGAAAAAAAATTCCAGTGCAAAGAAGAAACCTTAATAAAAAAAGCCCTCAAACACACCAAAAGATAACCAAACCTCTGCTTGGAGAGTATACAATCTTCTTCATTTCCAAATATGAAACAAATCCATCCAGCCAGTCTTGAGTTTTTGTGACAGACAGACAGCTGCAGCTTAAATGTATCAGTCATTTTTCATGGATGTAATAAACATCTAAAGATAAGTATACAAGCATACATGTACAAATGTATATCATGTGACACAGTTTTTCCATCAATAGCCATGCTTTCTTGTTGTTCCAGTTGTTTTGAAGAGGCAACAAGGGAATCCAGCAATGAGTCCAAGTTGGATGATCTGATGCAGCCCATCCACCCTGACAAGGTGGGCAGTGTGACTCGGGCTGGTAAGGACCTGGCCCTGTGGGAGGAGGAAGGTTAGTCCATCTTACTCTATTACGAAAACTTAAACTGTTCTCCAACTCAAAATTTGACTCACCAGGAATTTTTTACTGATTCACTCAGGGAAAAATCACGTGTCCACAGCATTTGGGTCAGATAGCTGAGGAAGACTGAGTGTCGATTCAGTCGAAAATTTCTGGTGAGTCAAATTTTGAGTTGGAGAACAGTGGACAACTCAGATGAACTTTCATGCTTACTCTATTACAGTTATGTTGTGCAAAATGGCAAGTAGGAAACACAACTTAAAGTATAGACAAGGGTAGCTTATTCATTCTCTTTTTTATAAGTAACTTTGTTTATAGCTGCTAAATAAGTGAGAACATTGTAGATTTTTGTCTTCGTCAGAAGGACTATGAAATTGTCTGACGCAGCATTGTGGGGACTGCGGATTTAGCGATATAACTCTGGCAGGCATGATTCGACGTCCATGATTTTTGGCAGGCAGATTACCGTTGTTGAGGCCAAAGTCAAGTGCAAGTTTCGGCTTCGTGGGGGGGTCCGTGCGTCACGTTAGTGCACCTTTTGTGTTTGTGGCTTGTTAGCAAAATAACTCGAGTATATGTACATTGATGTTTATAATTTTTTGTAGGCAACTTACTATTGTTGAGAACAAGATTAAGTTTGTTAATGGGCTTCGTGGGGGGTTCCGTTGTCACTGTAGCGGACCTTTTGTGTTTAGAAATCCCCCACCAACATCTGCTTGGAGATAGCCGACAGCTGGATATAGCCGGGAACCCCATAATGGGATGGGATCAAATGACGTTACATTGAGGGATTGTACTATAAGTTCAGCAGGGGGAGGATAGGTTGGACATGTGTCAGGTTATTTCTACGGCCACACCAAGTAATTGCTATGGATGACGTTCACTGGAGACCTTAAATTTAATTACCTTAAATTTAAGGCAAAAGCGCAATAAAAACACGAAGGGCCGAGAAACGAGATGCCAAGATTTGGAATATACTAACTGTAGAAATACAAATGTTAGGACACAAATTGGATAAAAGAACGCAGTGTAACAAGAAACAAGTCTTCTATTTGTCATATTAAAGATAAATTAACAAAACAGCAGTAGCCGCCCTGTTCTGATTCTTTCCTTTATAACATCTTCTCTTATTATATTTTGCGACACTGTTGTGACACTTTCAACACAGTAAGAATTTCTTGAAAGTTTTTTTTCCAGTAACAGTCCAAAATCAAATAACGTGGGGGGGGCTAACACGGGTGACGACGCATCTGTATAATCTGCGGCAAACCGTTTCAGGGTGTTCTGTACCATAAAAAGAGTACAGAGATTCTTTTGTTCTTAAGACCAAATTGATTATTAAAAAGAGTAAAGAATACGCATGTTCATTATCCTCTAGAACGATGTACCTCTGACGAAGACATGAGATCTCTGACCTCTAGTTCCATGTGTATCTGTATCGGTATAACCACCCTTCGGTGTAACACCAGCTTCGCAGGCACTCGGCGTGGCGGCAGCTAGCTACATTACACCGATCGACTTGTTACACCTAACCCTTGAACATCTAACTCTAAACATTGTTTAAAGCTATCTAATGACAATGCCCCTACTGTACAGAGAGTTTCACTCTGCTCTAGTTCTAGTCAAGTGTAGATTGTCATTATTGGGTTATTTGCTATTAATTACTTTGATGTCTAGCCTTCATTTATTTATCTTCACCAAGAAGGTTATGTTTTCGGTAGTGTTTGTGTGTGTGTCTCTGAGCCTGTGTGTCAACACAACTCGAGAAGGCTGGGAAGTTTGGATCATTGTCTTAATATTTGGCAGGTGGGTAGTTCTTGATGAGCCCCCTGGCGGCTTGTTATGGTACTGCAGCAGAACATTTTTCTATTTATCTTGCAGGTTTAAGACAGATTTCGGAGGGACGTGTGTGTGTTCTACTGCTGGCAGGAGGACAGGGCACCAGACTGGGGGTGACGTATCCAAAGGGCATGTTTAATGTTGGCTTACCTTCCCAGAAGACCCTGTACCAGCTGCAGGCAGAACGTATTCTCAAGCTGCAGAAGATGGCGTACGATCGCACGGGGAAACATGGCATCATTCCTTGGTTTGTAGCTCTTTTTTATTACTAGCATGCCCGTAGCCAGGATTTTGAATGGGGGGGTTCTTCCCACTCCTCAAGCGCCGTAGGGCGTGAGGTTCCTAGGGGGTAAAAATGAACCTTCTAAAATGGCATTTCGTGCATTTTTGAGAGGATTTCAAAGAAAAAAAATCAGAGATAAATTTTTATTCAATCTATCTTTTCAAGAAAAACTTGGACCTTTACATAAAAAGTGAACCAAAAAGTGGACCTTTACATAAAAAGTGGATCAAAAAGTGGACCTTTGAGCCTTGTGAGGGGGTTCTTCTGAACCCCCGAACCCCCCCTGGTTACGGGCATGACTAGTCTGTACTTAAATAGCTAACCATCCTACAGGTTTCTCCAATGAAAAAGTCATATAAAACCCATTAGAAAAATGTGCAAAATACTATTGTTGCTATGTAATAAAAAATCTCAAAAGGGAAATATCGTAACAACAAAAACTTTCTTCAATTGTTGATACCAAAATAGGAGCATTTTGGTGCTGATTCAGGATCTAAATGGTACGTGAATGTACATGTTTTTTTTTAAATCAGAAACTATAGAACTATAGCAGGAAAATCTGAGAATCAAGAAATTCAAGTAATGTATCCATGTCAACATTTTTGTTCAGTAAATTGTATTTTACTGAAAGAATTCCTGATGATTATGATACATACTATCATGAAAGTTCATCTGTGTTGAAAAAACTTTTGATCCAACACCAAAAATTCTCTCACCTAGAGCTTTCGACCAGTCACTCTGGTCTTCCTCAGTAGACTGACCCAGTGAGGCTTGTCACATGGCTTCTTTGAAGTGTGACGTCAACACTGGGTCAAAGGTATCTGGTAGACGATGTCGGCCCCCGTCCCGGTTCAATGAAGGGTGATGGGCCCTGATGTATATGGCTTCCTTCACCCCTCTCAAGAAATAGTCTTGTTCAGTGTCTTGAGAGGGGTGAAGGAAGCCATATACATCAGTGCCCATCACCCTTCATTGAACCGGGACGGGGGCCGACATCGTCTACCAGATACCTTTGACCCAGTGTTGACGTCACACTTCAAAGAAGCCATGTGACAAGCTTCACTGGGTCAGTCTACTGAGGAAGACCAGAGTGACTGGTCGAAAGCTCTAGGTGAGAGAATTTTTGGTGTTGGATCAAATGTTAACTTTAAACAGATTATGATACATGTTGTCTGTTAATAGGTACATTATGACCAGTGAAGCCACCCAGGGGCAGACAGAGAAGTTCTTCAAGGAGCACGACTACTTTGGTCTGGAGAAGGAGAACGTGGTGCTGTTTGAACAGTCCACCCTGCCGGCCATGATGTTTGATGGGAAAGTTATCCTGGACCAGAAGTGGAAGGTGGCCAGGGCTCCAGGTCAGGGTTCTCACAGGGGATAGCTGTTTGTTTGATTAATGTTTACTTACCAAGGTTCTAGCTAGTGCAAAGTAGCGTAGGGGCCCCCTACGCTATAATTTTGACCCCCTACGCTAAATTTCCCCCCCTACGCTAATTTTCTATAAAGCGTAGGGGCATTGTGACTGTTTTTTTGTTCAAGAATGCCAGATCAAATGGAAAAAATTAGCAAGCAGGGATACATTGTACATAACTTAGAAATAACATTTTTTTCCTTTGGGTATCCCTCAAATGGCCCCTTTTTTTAGGTCAAATTTTTAGAAACTCCACACCGGTCGCTTTGCCACCTCAACATGCGGCCAGTGCCACTACGCGTACGCTAAAATTAAATCCTAGCTAGAATCCTGCATACTTTGTTCTGATTTTTTTGCCATATTTATCTAAGTTGGATATTGTCATGAATGGTATGTTGTCTATGACAATAGTATTTGCACAAACCATACCAACAACTACTAGATACAAAACATACCAGCAATGAGCAATCAGAGACTTCAAACACACGGGAAATATTTTTCTGAATTATTTGTTTTCTTCCTTGTGAATTTTCTCAGTGTCTGTGGATTTTCCCATGGGCACCCTGCCAACAGGCAACTGCTAACTTCCTGTTGACTCTCTGCTAGCTTCTACAACCCCAGTTCCTGTGACATGTCACTGTGGACTATGTCAGGCAAGGCCAGCAGCCACATGCTGTCCTTCAAATCCTGAAGTGCTGTTAAGAATAAAGAAACACACTCATAGCGTGCGTAGTCTAGTGGTTAGCAATCCTGCCTCTGGACTATGAGGTTGGGAGTTCAAATCCCGGTTGTTGTCGCTCACCCGACACGCATGCTACTGTTTAGAATTGCAGTCCTTAGGACGGGACGTTAAGCCGTGTTAAGCCACTGTTCATTGTACTTGTCGAAAAAGAGCTAGGGGAATTTCCCCGGTACAATGAACCTGTAAATACTGGACATAGCGTCTGTCTTCTCTGTCACGACCAGTGGAAGATTAGCTCTTCAGTGAGCTAAACTGGCTTGAGATCACTTTAACTTTCACTCATGAACCCACAGCACAGCCCAAAACAACACCTTCACACCTGAAAGTAACTAATAAATAGATCTGTACTCCTGTTGCAGATGGTAATGGTGGTTTGTACCGAGCCTTGGGGGAGAGAAAGATCTTAGATGACATGGCAAGAAGACAGTTGAGATACGTCCATGTGTACTGTGTGGACAACATCTTGGTCAAGATGGCCGACCCTGTCTTTATTGGCTTCTGTATAAGCAAGGATGCTGACTGTGGTGCAAAGGTACAGATCTCTTTTTACTACTTAGGCCATGTTGATTTGATTATATGGATGACATCCTCTGGGAACCCCAAAACTGATGCAAGCGTGCAAATTTAAAAAAAAGTTGCCTTCATTATGATAAAAATCTATGTGGTCATGAAGGTTGAGCATACAGGGTATCAGGGCTGGAAATACTGGGTGTATGTGCACCTTAGTGCACCCAAACTTAGATTTTTTTCTCTGGGTGCACCAGTGCACCCAAATATTTTTGTATGTATTTTTGTACATATCAATTGTATACAAGATATTCATGGCATCTAAGTGTCAGAAAAATGACAAAATCTTTGTTGTAGTACTTGCTTAAGATTTTGAAGTTGCTCCCATTTCAACTTTAGAAAACTTTACCTCAGAAGATGAGCAGTCAGATTTGTAATTAGGTTTTGTTTTATATGGTGCAGCCAAAAAATTTTTTAGGTTGGGTGCACCAGTGCACCTATTCCCAAAAATGAATTTCGATCCCTGGGGTATGGTACGGTGAATAAAGGACTCTCGTTTTCATTTCTTTGCATTTTCCTCTTTTCCCTTGGAATCGATTTTGTCATTCTACGATATTTATATATCGTTTTCCAAAAAAAATATTTTGCAATGTATGGCATATATTTGCTCATTATGTAGGTGCCTTGTGTGATTTGCAGTATGATTGAAAAAAAAAAAATTTTGAAACGGACGAAAATTCATGTGCACCCGGATGTCATCCATATAATCCAATCAACATGGCCTTATTACGTGTGTTCAGACAAATGATGTAGCCACATTTTGTCTGTCATTTGGTACATGTACAGTATTTCTAATCAATGAGACTAACTACGACTACCAAAATACACAAGATGTGGTGTGATATAGTTAGTTGCCGCCGCGCCACTTGCCTGCGAAGCTGGTGTGTTACGCCGAAGGGCGGTTATACCGGCTATACTAATAGAGATACAGATAGGAATACACCAGAATACACATGAAGGAGGTTAAAATCTACTGATTAAATACACCCTGCTTTGAAGATCACAGTGGTTGCTATGTTTTGCCATAAGAATGTATACATGGTCCTGGAGCAACAAATCATGATTGTGTTTGTGTGTGTTTCTGCATGGACCTTACATGTAGGTTGTACTGGGTATTGTTAATTATATCATACCCAGGCCACGATAACGCTCGATAACGGGTTCCGGACCGGGCCGTACTTTACGGCCCGGGCTCGATGGCTTCCATAGAATGTTTCAAACGCGTTTCGTCCTAACTGTGTGCGCTGCTTTCGAAAATTCAAATACAGAATTCGAATGTTGGAACTGATGTTGTTCCATTTTACTAAATTTTTAGTTACACCACATTCTGGCTCATTTTTCATTGACAGACACGTTTTCTTGGGTGGGTATGACATAAATAAAATACTGTACAACATGGTGAATTCCGCATCACCCTCGGTCCCGGCCTTCCCGCGGTCGGGCCGATACCTCGGGCGATACGGAATACCCCGTGTTGTATTCTATATATGTACGGAGCCCTTTGTTCATGAGAGATTTTCAACCCCTCCTATATAATAGTCATTTCTTGTAAACTTCATGGTGTGAGTTGTCTGACTGGTTGTTTCAGGTAGTTCAGAAGGCGTACCCTACGGAGCCTGTGGGCGTGGTGTGTCGTGTGGACGGGGTGTACCAGGTGGTGGAGTACAGCGAGATCACCCTCAAGACTGCAGAGAAACGCAACCCAGACGGAACCCTCATGTTCAACGCAGGGAACATCTGCAACCATTTTTTCACCTTGGAGTTTCTGAAAACAGTTGTCAGGTAGGTGAACCCAGCCTTTTTAAAGTACCGGATAGTCCTGGACATGGGTCTAATCAAGGAGGTTCTATCAAAAGAGGAGAGGGTGGGGTCGTGTGGTGTAGCGGCAGAGTGCTCAACTCGGAACCTAGAGGTCCCGGGTTCGAGTCCTGACATGCCACCGATCTTGTGCCCTTGGGAAACTACATGACTTTCCTCACTTCGCTCAGGTGAAAATGAGCATTGTATTGTCCCCTGTGTTGGTGGCGGCATTAATATAAGGTTGAAAAACTTGAGTGTGCCGTCACCACGTCTTGTGATTACATGTTGGAATTTATAAAAAAAAAAAGAAAAGAGGAGAGCATGGAAAAATGCCTGCTGTGCCTTTTTTCTTATTTGCATAGTGAATGAGAAAATACCTTAGTGGTTAGTAATGGGAATTTCATACTTGGAAGTAACCCAAAGGCCTCATTTGCATTATTAATGTGAACATTCTATGACGGCCTTCTATGTTACTATTGTTAGTATAAGACTTTGAGAGATTGTGTACATTTGTATTTTGGGAGAAAACTTTGATATGTCAGTTGTGGGCAGGGCTTGAAATACTTCTATCTGCATACATGCACTGGTGCAGGTAACCTGGAAAATTACAATGTACCTGCACCAGATAAATTTTACCTGCACCACTCAGACGTTAGGGAGAATGGATCATACTAAAGACTGCCCAGAAACCATTGCACTATTTCTTTTATACATCATAGGTTGTAACAGTTAATGCAGCAAATACAAATTAATGTATATCCACTGCAGTAGCAGTGGCAAACTATCCTCCGAGATCTGAAGCATATTAGTTACATTTGTACCCTTCAGTCCATCGGAAGCATTTGGCCTTGAGTGAGTGAGTTCCTCTAGATTGTAAAATTTGTGGCAGGAAGCCAATAAGGAAGGATAAAACTGAAACATCTTAGTTTTGCTCAAGTTTTGTCTAAGAATTCTCAAGTTTTGTCTAAGAATTCTCCATAAACAAAAACTTAAGACTTAGTTTGGTTTTATTTTTTTGTGATTGAAAAAATTTAAAAGAACAATGTCATGTGGAATTGTTGAGGTACATGTACATGTATAGGACCTGTATCTAAACCCCTGTACCTGAACCTGTACCTAAAGTTGTTTGGTTATACTGCTCTACTTTCCATAGTTAACAAGACAATGATGATTAGGTGAAGGTATGAGGTGGTGAACCTGTGATTGTTGTTACTGTGCAGTGAGCGTGAAGGTGAGCTCAAACATCACATCGCCAAGAAGAAGATAGCATTTGTTGATGATCAGGGAGAACGGATCAAGCCAGAGAAGCCAAACGGAATCAAGATGGAGAAGTTTGTGTTTGACGTGTTCCAGTTCTCCAGGTAAGGACGTGTTTGTGTGAAGTGAGCCCAGGCAAGGTGAGCCCAGGCATGTACAATATAGGACTGTACAATGTATATCATCATCATCATGATATACTAATATACTATACATGTATATACTAATGAGCTTAAGGCCACACCAATTTAATTTCTTGGTTAATGGATTTTTCTACATGTAGAAAAATAATGGAGTGGGCGGGCGAAAGAAATAAAGAAAAACAGGCCTAGGCATCCTGTTATGGCCCAAAATGGTACAATAGGAGCCATGAAGTCAACACACCAGGCTGGTTCAAAATTTAAACAATGAATTTTGAACTTATTTTGAACATATTTTGAGAAAAACTTGACCACTCTCTGACAACTAGCGATGGAGCGTCATGAGTTTCATGAGTTTGAACGTGTGAAAAAGTGTTTAAATTTAATGTTAGGGTGTGACAGAGATCTCGCACCCCCAGTGATTTCGCACCCCCTGGAGCGAAATCACTAGCGATCTCGCACCCCCCGGAACGATATCACTAGTGATCTCGCACCCCTTTGGTGATCTTGCACCCCCCGGGGGGGTGCAAAATCGGTAGCGATTTTGCACCCCCTCAATCGATTTGTTCACCCCGTATGTGTTCTGTTACGGCCTTCGTAATTCACAGTGGTTACTATATCAGATGCTACCTATTAACAAACACTATCCCTCTGGATATTTTCCCTTCTGAAGGTAGATAAGGATTTGACTATACATGACAGGCAGCTCCTTCTCCCCTCTCTTAGTCCGTCAGCTAACTTTTGCAAGATGGCGGGAATATGTCACATGATTTTTTTATCCAATCAGGACGACGTACACTCGCCACATTTGAACTGTAGGTACTTGGTCATAGACATGCAGTACCATTACATATGTACTGTTGGCTGAGTTGGTAAGTGGGTTGAGTACTGTTCACCAAACAGTCATGAGTCATGGGTTCAAATCCACGGGGTGACTTTTTTTAATTTTTAAACCCGTAATATTTTTAACATTCAATAGCTTTTATAGCAATTATTCTTACTCAAAAATGTCACAAAGTTTTATTTTTCCGACGGGACCAGGCTTCGAGATTTTTTTGTCCCTATTTAAGACTTTTGACAATTTTAAAATCTTCCTCAGGAATGTCAATCTATTACACTTGATCTATGACATAGAACAGCTTACCAAATAAATGTGTGGTGCTAAGCAGACAAATATTGGTCATGTCTTAAAAATGATTTTAAAAAAAATCAATAATGAACAATGACAAAACGTTGAATTAATCACACATTCTTCTTGGAACTAAGGGACACTATTGCAACCAATCATTGGGCACAGTCACCATTATTGCGCTGTGCTGAAATACGTCACATTAGTCCCGGGAAACTTGTAAAACTCTCGATTACAACATTAAAGTATGGTTTTATCACACTAAAATGCAGTTTCAACTATATACCGGGCAGACAGAACAATTTTCAAAATGTTTGGCGGGGGGTGCGAGATCACCGGGGGGTGCGAAAACACTAGTTTGGGGGGTGCGAAAACACTAGCTTGGGGGGTGCGAGATCGCTAGTGATTTCGCCCCGGGGGGTTCGAGATCGCTAGTGATCTCGCCCCGGGGGGGTGCAAAATCAGGGGGTGCGAGATCTCCGTCACACCGGCACCCCCTGTTAATCGTGTCTTTTTTCCCTTCAGATTTTGAGGATAAAACATTTTCACCTTAAAAAAGTTTTAGCAGATAATTAATATTTTTGTGATTTTCTTCCGTGTGAATGTGTGGGAACGATCAGATGTCATTATAATTAACTTCAGTTGTCTGCAGTACATGTAGGTATCAAAGTTACATGTAGCTTGATTAGGGTTTTACAGGGTTCAAAAGTTATGCCAAAAATGAACATTTTAGAGACAGAAAAATCACTGGCAAATGCTTTATTCTTTTATTACCACAGCACTCAGTCTAACTAACATCTTGTTTTGCTTCTCTTAATTTGCACTAACCAGCCTGTACCAATGTAGTCGAGCACTTACACAATGTGTTTGGGTTAATTTGCATGAGCTTGCATGTCCTTTTCAGTTGTTTCCTGTGTCAAGCTCCTACTTTCCATGTGATTCAGCCGCCATTTATGAAAACAACCAGCTTGTGTGGTAAAAGGCACATGAAAAGTATTAAAAATGCCATTCCATCATTAATCTCTTGGCAATAATTTTTCTAAGGCTACGAAGGTGATATAATAAATTTATTGTACAGGTAGTCTTCATTTTTTTTGTTAAACTTTGTCTTTATACTTTGGTTGTGATAATTTTGGACATGCACTTTTACTTGACCAAGCTGTGTGCAAAGCTATACCTTTTCATCAGAATTATACAATACTATGTACATGTGATTCTCAGAGCTACTAACAAATTATCCTTACAAATTATCTCCTGGCTTTCTGAACTTGAACTTGTTGTATGCAGTTTATGTATAATAGGTTTGCATGTTGATGTTATTTTTATTTTCACTAACAGTTACTGCATGAGTTGTGCTTGTAACTAACATTAACAAACTAACCTGCATCTGTGGCATGTGTGTTTGTTTTTTTGTTCACTTGTCAGAAATTTTGCTGTTCTGGAGGTGGTTCGGAAGGATGAATTCTCCCCTGTCAAGAACAAAACTTCTCACAACCCCCAGTACAGACTTGTGAAGCAGTGGTCCCAAAATAATACGTAATGCTTTCCACAGTGTGTTACCGTACAACTAGCAATCCTTTCAAATAACAGGAAATTACCCAAAGATCAACAGTCTAAGGTGATCTAGCCTGATTCCATGTAATGATTTTAACTTCTAATCAAATAAATTAAGAAGATTAATGCAGAGGTGTCATTTTGGGCACTATATGTTAATTACTATATATTGAGGAAATGTGACATGATTGTAAAGACCAGGAAATTACAATTTTCAAGGGATGCAAGAAGAAGCACCTGATGGTAGCTGTCTTAATTTCTGTTGAAAGCACTTCGTTATACTCTAGTGCAATGCTGAACTTTATTCCAACACAAGGGTACAAAAGGATCAAATTTTCAAAGACCACTGTTGCCTTCATCAGGATAAAAAATGACCTCCGAACAAGCTTCAACAACGACACATGACCTACAAGACTTTTTGTGACAGCAATTGGTCAAAGGTGCAGGCAATTTATATCCGTGGTCGTTGAAAGTTTGATCCTTGTGTTAACCCTTGTGTTGGAATAGAGTTCTGCATTGTACTATGATTACTACCAAGAACACAGATGAACTTCCATGACACTTAGCTATACCTACATGTAAATGACATTTCATGCTTACAAATGTAGGTTTTACGTTGCATTCTTTGTAACAGCCAAGTTCTGACTTTCACTGTCTAGAAATGATCCTTTCTCTTCACAAACTGTACTCTTGGGAATCATTTTGTGAACACAAGGACTGGATCTTGGTTACATGATTATTCTTCAATATTTTTAGTTTGTCTATCTTGTTGTTTTAGCAACTTGTATAACAATGGATTTTTATCCCAGATCCTTTTGGAAAACATTTCAGTAGAAGCCTCTCAGCACTTAGATCAGCACCCAGTTTGGACACCAGCAATCCCTGCAAATAAAGTTAACTGAAATAAAGAGTTCTTTTTAAGACACTTTTTGTGGCTGCTACCTAGTCTTTTCATCACATGCCAACATAAAACAGATGGAGCAAATCAACATTGAGGTTCACAGGTGGCATTTTAATTAAAGCTGGAATGAAAGACGACTTTTGCATTTTTTAAATTTTGAGTTCCTGATAGCATACTGAAAATTCATGATCAATATTCACGTTGATCCTTTTTTGATGTTGGCAGGAAATTTGCCACGTTTGACGTTCTACGCGAGGATGAATTCTCTCCTCTAAAGAACAATGACAGCGCTGAAAAGGACACTCCAACTACAGCCCGCCATGCGCTCTACAACCTGCACCATCGCTGGGTGCTGTTAGCAGGAGGCAGGTTCATAGAAGAGGACGGCACAGCCATCCCCCCCATACCCAGGTAAGCACAGCCATCCCCCCCATACCCAGGTAAGCACAGCCATCCCCCCCATACCCAGGTAAGCACAGCCATCCCCCCCATACCCAGGTAAGGGCACGGTAGGAAGTATAATAATATGGTTTGGCTGTGTGAACCAATCATAAACTTCTATTCCAAGTCTCCCACCCTACGTGTGTAGGAATCTAGGATGTTTGTCTACTGCAGACATCAACATACTTGAGTACTCAGAGCAATTTTGATTCCTGCTTCTGCAGGGTAGTATTCCATTAAAATTTATGTAACTGCAATGAACAATGTAAGATAATAAATAATGTCCTGAGGTGTATATGGTAAGATTATCCCTGGTCAGGTGCGATAACCACCAAGTGAGTGGAGCGAACGAGGTGGTTTATGAGGTGGTTATCGCACCTGACCAGGGATTATATCACCATATACACCGAGGACAAGGTGGGGCATTAACGTTATTATCATATATAGCCTATCCAACTGACACAGTTGTTGACAAAATTCCTTTAGAAAATTCCTCCATTGTCAAAAAACCCTCACATTCTATTTTACGTGAAACAAGATGGCATGGACAGAAAAAGAGATCATCTAGGCAATCATCTGCAGTGAATTTTTGAAATAACTCATTCCAAATAAACTACAATACATTTTTAATAGATAAATACTACTAGTCTTAACACTACTGTTAGTTCCCTTTCCCCTGTATAATGGTACGGTCCAAAAAGTGGTTGGTTATTCTAATAACCGACCACCTTTTAGGTTACGGCCTGATAACCCATGGCAAATGGAGCCTTCTGATTGGTCGATGTCTTCTGGCTATATGATAATGACCTTTTTTGTACCATTGAGCCAGACATAGTACAACTGTATAAATCAAACAACTTGCAAAGCCATTTTTCCCAAAGACTTCTTGTACTTCCAACATTTTAATGGCTGTTGTAACTTGTGTCTGTTGTTGACAGTCGGAAGGAGGATGTCCATGAGTACCCAGTGGTGTGTGAGGTGTCTCCACTCCTGTCCTATGGTGGGGAGGTATGTACTGTACATCTGTACATTTTTATTCATGCACATTTATTTAAAACTCAGGTTGGTGAATCAGTGGTTTTACAGGCACATGTCCTATTGACAGTATAATATGCATACATAGCTCCTTTAACAAAGGAATGTGGCTGAGGTCTGTAGTGTGGAAGCATAATATTATACTTTTTTTTGGTTTTGAAAAAGTTCTCTGAGGTCAGGTACATTTATCTGATTCTGTGCTTCTGTGATTCTGTGAGCTCGATCATGGATCCACTCATTTGACTCAAGAATTGAAATGTTCGTAATCAAAATGTCTTGTTTCGTAATCTCTGGGTTCTGATTTGTGGAAAAGATTAATCAGACAATGTATTGCAACTAGAGAAGTAACATTTGCAAAGCAAATGCATAATGTTTACCTTTGGACATGGTCTGCCCTGTTCATTTTTACTCAAACACATTCACATACATGTACTACTAGTACATGGTGACAGGAGTAGAGTAGACCATGAAATTGCAACATTATGTAACCCAACACCAGTCACCATGGTGGCAGACGTCAACAAATCATGTCATTGGCCAGGTCAGAGGTTAGTGTTTGGAACAGGAGAGGAGGAAGAAACTGAGTGAAAACAATATGTTTTCCTTTGGTAAACATAAAAATGTGTGGAAAAGATCAGGACATCAAAAACCATGGTATTCCCCTGTTTTTCCCCCAGAGTCTGGAGGAGCATGTGAACGGTAAGGAGTTCAAGTCTCCCCTCCTGCTGCTCAGCACCACCGAACAGAACGACAAGGAGCCTGACGTCAAGAAGATCCGAGAAGACTGAGGACTGGTGGGAGGGTCGCAAACTTTCCTCTGGCTGTGATGTTTTCATGTTGGCAATCAACCATTTGATATCTTCCCTAGACTGTAACTGTTACATTAATCTTCTACTACAGCAAAGGGTTTATCCAAATCAACCATCGTTACTGAAAGTGGACCGTAGTACTTTTACTGGTGTGATTGTTTAACTTCATGACCAAATGTAGGATAAGTTCACATGTACATTTGCATACAGTGGGGTGTACACTGTTTTGTAGAAATGCTGTCATCAGTGTATTATCCTCCAATCATTTTTACAAATAAGGGAACATTAATTTCGGATCTATCAGGTTTCTCTATTGTGGCTTCCTAGGTCAGTGTATTTGCTATAATGGAAGGGACGTCTATTTTGTTCACTTTTCCATAGGATTGCCTACAATACTGGCATATTCTGGATAGGTGATCCACATACTCCAAGGGCTTCTTTCAATCCACATACAAATGATGGATATATGCAAGCATGTAATGTTACATTGAGATTGTGGGTAACTAAGAAGAGATTTGAATTGTTGTACTCTGTGAGAAGCTACTTACATTTCAGGTGCTACATGTACATGCCTTCAAGTTAGATCCAGTGCACTGCATGGTTAAGTCCCAGTATCAGTATACATGTAAGTCATTTGTTTATATGTCAGCACTCAGTACATAAGAATTTAGAATGGTAAAGGAAACATAAACAACTTTACAGTCATTTTAAGGCATCCTTTGAAATCTGTCAAAAGAAAGAAAGAACATGTAACGGTTACATGTATGAGAAGAATTCTACACAGCAGTGAAATATGATTAGAGAGGTGTGTATAGTTAGAGTTGAACTGTGTTTTAAGTTTATGATATAAAGACAATCTCAGAAAGTGTAGCAGTTACTACCTTCTACTGCCAGAGATCAGGCCAGTGGTGAGATGGTTATAACAATAAGGACCAAATTAATACAAGTTTCCATGGCTGTTATCAGACTCAGGCTACAGTAGTGCTACGATGTTTTGTGTCAAAGAAATTTCACAATCGTCATGACGGAATTACATTCACAACTACTGCCTTCTTGGATTTTAGACAAAACTGTTTTTTAATACTATGAGTCTCTGCATCTGTGTTCAGTATTAGTATTTTTAAGAACTTTTATTAGAAGTATGCAATGTTTATGTGGGTTGAGCTGTAAGGTGTGTGCACAACATTATTTCTTCTGTGGTTGTGATGTGGTTCTGCTTAGACAAAGGCTTCATGAACTAGTGAAATAAGTTTGTTCTGGTCCTCTCCTCACAAACCTACATGTAAATGATGTATCAGATTTAACAAGAGGCCATTTTTCTAGGGAATCATCATGTTAACTGTATAGATAGAATTAACATGCATCAAAGTCAGCACATAAATTTACTACTACTACATTACAATGTTCCTAATTCTACCTGATCTGTAGAGGGACCAACATTCTAAAGTGGAAAAAGTTCTTCAATTTTATGAAGAATAATTATACATGACATTGTTTAGATACTTAGTCTATTAGATCAACAAAATCAAACCAAGTCTAGTTGTTACACCCTTGGAATTAAGTGCCTCTTGTATATATATATGTATATATATAATTGAAATTATCTGACCTTCAATCAAATTTAAATAGATCCAAATTGTATACAAATAATCAAGGTCCTATATATCCTTGAAATAACAATATTGAAGATTAAGTATTGTAAGGTACATTTTTATAGTAGAGACTATTCCAACTTTGTCATAAAACTTGTAAGGCATTATAGTAAGTATGATCTTGCACAGGCGACAGCAGCCCTTGTTTGTAGTACTTCAATGTTGGCAGAACATTACTTTAGTATCTATCTGGAAGTACAGTGTTACATGTTGTGTGTTTGGAGCTTTGGCTGATATAAGGGCATTTGTAGTGTTTCACATTTTGTGACATGTAGCGTTGTATATTGTGACATGTAGAATTGCATACTCTGTAACATGTAGACATCACATGGTGTTTCACACTTTATGATCACTTCCTTTATTGATGAGGATGATGTTACCAACACTACAAGGATCAATCCAGGCATTTCTATCTTTACCCTCAAGTGCCCTTCAGTTTACTATGATTATATCTATCTGTCTGCTTTTCAAAATAGTTTGTGTATAAAACTGTATCTTTAGTTATTAGCCAAGTCTGTATCTTGTATTTCTTATACTTTTTAAGCATAGAAATATCTCAGACTCAATTTCATTCCACTCCGACATTTTCCATTGATCCTCTGTGACTGCTGAGGTGTCTGTTGAGAGTCTGACCAAATAAAACCAAAGATGTGACAGGTTAAGTGCATGACTTAATCACTTACTATTACCATACATGTAGATTGAAGACCATATCAAATTAAAATGGATCATTTTTCTGATTATCTTCAAGAAAAATGATTATGTTCAAGAAAAAGTATTAACTGTTAATTATGTTCCACAAAAATGGTAGTATTATTCAACTAGAGTTCCCCGATCTCATACCTTCGCCAAATGATGTTAATCTTTATGACTGACAAATTATAGATTATTACCCATGATTGTTCAAATAGGATCCTCTTTCTTATGAATTATATCAGTTTATCATATTCTCAACCAGTCTTATGTTAACAATGCCATTCTAGCATTCCCTCATAAATTTTGCAAAATGAGGTCCTGATTTGAATACATTATGTTTCATGATATTCACCTTCATTGACCTTTTAAATACCACAAGTATGACCAATGTATTTAAATGTCCTCATGTATTATGCAAATTAGATCCTGATTTGCATAAATATTGTCTAATTGTAAAGCATTACCTACAAATCAAAAAGCATGATGATCTGCCAACCAATTCTTGAGTTATCTTCCCCCAAAGATTTTCAAACTCACGAACACGCAATTCCAGAACAAGGTGCTAGGAGGCCAGAGCGCTATCTGATCCAAAATTTGTAACTCTAGCATATCCAGATCATGAGATATTAACACCAGGAAGTTCTGCTGCAGTATCATAACAAGCTGCAGCAGGCCCAAAATCTTTGAGGTCTTGTCAAGTCCTACCCAAATACCAAATTTTATGACAATCCATTCTTGAGTTATCCTGCTAAACCACATAGACTGTCATGATAGTACACACATACATGTACATTGTACATGTAACCGTTATATGTTCATCATCATCAGGTCGGGCGAATTGCCTGGACCAAGTCCACTCTTTCTCGCCATGCCACTCTGTCCGCCATGTTATGTGTTAATGATCATTACATTTATTTACATGTTCATAAACATTAGCACATACACAAACTACCAGGTACCAAAAACCAAGGAGGTTAAAAAGACATCAATAAGACAAAAAGAAAACAATTCACAAAAAAGCTCTAAATATTTCATGGAGGTACGAGATCAGGCATGCAGGTACATGTAGCTAAGCAGAGATGTACATTGTTCATGTAACGTTACATGTTGTAACTTACACAATAAGATGCAAGCTATGCAAATGAACTTATTTTTCATAATTAATGAGGAAATACTATGATTTCATGATGGTTTTCCTTAATAGGACACACAATGTAATTGATGACAGGTGGAACATATTAAGCAGAGACCAAACATGCAAATAATGGCTTACTAGTAGTCAATGCGAATAGGTCACAACTCCTTACTGGTAAATGATGGATATTTCATACATTGTACTTGTGACATGTATAAGTTAAAGATGAACATTACCATGCACAGATTATGTAAATGTGGGATGTCATTTGCATAAAATTTACAAAAGCAGAAGAAGACTCAGGCAACTGCAAATTTATGAACGACATTAACACTTAATAACTTAAAGTTATTGTGAACAGCCTGACAATGTTTTACACTTTAGATATGTTTCAAAATGGGAGACTAGTAACTTTTTGGACTCATGGTAATAAATGTAAGTAATAGCCTGTTTCATCATCTATTTTAATCCTACCTCACGTCCATTCTATGTCTTCAGAATTTCTTATATCAACTTGACATGTTGTAGACCTTTCTCTGATTTTGATGATACATGTACTGTAATACCTAACCAGAAATGTTGCCCTCAACATAGATTTGCAAAACACCACAGAATCTGACAGCGTATAATCCATTTAAATATTTATTGATTTCCCTTCTAGTACATGTAGGAGGAAAAAACATAATTGATTGCATTATCTTTTTACATGATTGTACAATGTAATACTGGTTCTTTTTGATTGAATTGCCCATCGAGTATAGATTACTTGATATAATAATATTCAATAACGAGTGACATGGTGTTAACCTTAACATCATTAATTTTACTATCTAAACACAGTAAGACTTCCAGCATTTGTAATTTCCTGACTGCACATATAACAGTGAAATATGCACATGAATAGCTGTAGACTAGTAGTATCCAGTCTTTGATTATACTGGTGCAGAGGTCCTTAAAGAAGCCGGCAGCAGTCGACTGGTCTTCAGACCACATCCACACAACCCTGTCCACTGAAATGTGGTGGCCACACTCTCTGTACATGACAATTTGTCTACAGGTAAAAGCATGTGCTGTGCTTATGAAAAATAATGTTTTAAGAAGTGGGTGCCACAAAATCTGAAACCCTCAGAGCTTGGCTGAGTTTTATTTGTTGGTGATTAACTAACCAGACAGGTCGCTAGCCTGGTGTGTGTTCAATGTGCACCTGTACTGTATGTACAATGTAACTGTTCACACCTCCCAGCCAGATTTAAATTAGTATTTAATGTCATCTCGCAGTAGATTACAAATTTGTATGAGAAATGTGGACCCTCACTTTCATCACATTTTTACCACATACTACCATGGATCCTGGTGTGACCATTAAACAGTGTTGTTAACTGCTCCAATGAAACTGGAAAAGCCTGGCTGTTCTCTTGTCATGTATCTGATAAAATATAGAGTACTGTAGGGGCATTTTCAAGGTTCTCCAACCATATTGGCAGCCCAAAAGGTCCTGTTCTGCATGGCCTTCCCAATGCCATCAGCTTGACGTCGACAAGTGTCATTTCTTAATTGTCTTCGTCAGAAGGACTATGAAATTGTCTCGCCGGAGTGTGGGGAACTGCGGATTTTGCGATATAACTCTGGAAGGCATGATTCGACGTCCATGATTTTTGGCAGGCATATTACCGCTGTTGAGGCCAAAGTCAAGTACAAGTTTCGGCTTCGTGGGGGGTCCGTGCGTCACGTTAGTGCACCTTTTGTGTTTGTGGCTTGTTAGCAAGATAACTCAAGTATTTGTAAAATGTTGATTATAATTCTTGGTGTGGTGCTTACTATTGTCGGGACCAAGGTTAAGTTCGTTACTGAGCTTCGTGGGGGGTTTCGTTGTGACTACAGGGGGCATTTTGTTAATTTTCTTGTGAGCAGGATAACTTTGTATGTGTGGATGGAAGTTAATGAAATTTGATAGGCACATTACTGTCGTGGTCTCCAAGATTGAGTTCAAAGATGAGAGTCGTGGAGGTCGTTATGTCCCTGTAATAGGACCTTTTGTGTTTAGAAATCCCCCACCTACATCTGCTTGGAGACAGCCGACAGCTGGATATAGCCGGGTAACCCCATAATGGGATGGGATCAAATGACGTTACATTGAGGGATTGTACTATAACTTCAGCAGGGGGAGGATAGGTTGGACATATGTCAGGTTATTTTCTACGGCCACACCAAGTAATTGCTATGGATGACGTCCACTGGAGACCTTAAATCTAATTACCTTAAATTTAAGGCAAGCGCGCAATAAAAACACGAAGGGCCGAAAAACGAGGTGCCTAGATTTGGAATATACTAACTGTAGAAGTACAAATGTTAGGACACAAAGAACACAAGTCTTCTATTTGTCATAAAGACAAATTAACAAAACAGCAGTAGTCACCCTGTTCTGATTCTTTCCTTTATAACATCTTCTCTTATTATATTTTGCGGTGCTGTCGTGACACTTTCAACACAGTAAGAATTTCTTGAACGTTTTTTTTTCCAGTAACAGTCCAAACTCAAATAACGTGGGGGGGGGGGGGGCTAACACGGGTGACGACGCATCTGTATAATCTGCGGCAAACCGTTTCAGGGTGTTCTGTACCATAAAAATAGTACAGAGATTCTTTTGTTCTTTAGACCAAATTGATTATTAAAAAGAGTGAAGAATACGCATGTTAATTTCTCTAGAACGATGTACCTCTGACGAAGACATGAGATCTCCGACCTCTAGTTGAAAATTGATTTGGCCTCACTTCCAGGATTTCCTTAAAAGTGGTTTGTTCACTCTAGATTTAACGTGCCATGAAACTGGTTGCAATACCTTGTGCTGATGATGATACTGTACTAGGATTTTCTTTAAAATTGACTTAAGTATACTCAATATTTGTCTCTTTCTGCCATCAGTCAAGTTTGCCGTGAATTTTTTTCTATGGGTTTTATCGTGCGCAAAAATTCCAAAATTTTTGTATTACATTAACATTGTATTCTTGACCCTAGAATAGTTTTTTTTGTGTAAATGGTACCAAAACTAGAGCGGTTGAAAAAAAAGCTGAAGTTATTACCTGCATGTGAAGTTATTACCTCCAATAAAAATAGAGCACTGGTGTAATAATAATTATTATAATAATAGTTGTTTTTGGTCTGTGTGTGTGTCTTCCTGCATACTAGTAATTGTGGTCGGCATTACTGAAGAAAGCTTACTTTAATAGTAAATAGATTGTGATGATTAGCACAGTTCATCTGTGTTGGTAAACGTTCTATCCAACATGAGTAAATTGGGACTTACCCCAAATTGAATGGACCCTTGGACTGCAGCTTCCGGGACGTGACACCGGATTGTGATGATATTTGGTATGTGGGTAGGTCTTGAGAAGATGAAGGTCAAGGTCAATTTTGGGCCTCCAGATGGCTGTCCTTGGTACTGCTTGGAATTGAACATTTGGTTGTTGTATTTTTTCTGCTGCAGTACCTTAACAAGTCACTAGGGAGCCAAAAAGCTAAAAGTTTCTCGGCTTCTGAGGTTTGGGTTATTGGCCTTGTCTAATGCCCAAGTGGGGTACCCACACTTACTTAGTGCCCGTGAAATGTTACGTTTCTCCTCTATATCTTGAGGGTGAGAGATAATCGTTTCTGCTCTGTGGAACAAGGTGCGGATAACCCTGAGTTTATGATCCAGGGGGTGGTTAGAATTGAAGTTCAGATATTGGTCAGTATGTGTGGGTTTGCGGTATATCTTAACCTGCAGGGACCTGTCCTCTGTTGTTAGCGTATCCAAAAAGGCTAGTAACCTAGTATTCTCTTCCTCTTCAAATGTGAACTTTATGTCAGGGTCAAGGTCATTTAGATGTTCTGTGAACTCTTGTGTGTACACCCTCTAAAGCTTGGTAAAAGTGTCAATGTATCTGTACCACAATACAGGGTGTGTGGGCAGGTATGATCCACTGCTCACAGAGTCACGTGTTATCTGTGTGACGTCACGGAAGCAGTGGATTGCTCATTTCTTGACAAAGACTGGAGTTGTAGTAAAAAATTTGGGTGAGTCCAATTTCTTGTGTTGGATATCACAGTTCATACTTGTTTCATATCATAATGACTTCTACCAACACAGATGAACTACAGCCAAACTACATCCAAACAAAAATCCAAACATACGCTATTGAAAACAGAATGTTACTGAATGCTCAGTCAACATATAGAATGTATTACTTTAGCGTAAAATACACAGCTTTTTCTTTACCTGTTGCTCAGATATAATGTAGCAACTCACATGTACATGTAGGTCCCAAATCAGTTGGTTCATCTTTGATCATAATTTATATATATATATATATACTGCCACTTCAACTCTGATACAATGTACATCACATTTCCTGATTGCAGACTGTTACATATGAGCAGGCTTTTAGCTAGGATTTTTTTGTTGGGTGTCCATTTTTTTATTGTACACAGCAAAGATGCACAGTGTGTGACCTTTTTAGGGGGGCTTTTTTGACATTCATAATGCCCTCAAACACAACTTTCTGCATTTTGAGGAATTTGAGTTTTTTTCCTTCAGTAAACCATCATTTTTGTATTCTGAAAGGAGGCATGTGTGCATGGCAGGGGTTGGAAGTGGAAAAAATAGGGCGTCTTTAGGGTGTCCTACCAAAAAGTAGGGCGTCCAATTTCTTACTATTTTCAGTACACTGGGCATCCAAAAGACACCCTGGACACCCCCTAGCTAAAAGCCTGCATATGAGACTGTTGGCTGGTTTAATATACTTGTAGTTACTTGAAAAATAGCAAGCTTGGCAGGCAACCATCCGGCTTCTTAACTGCTTCATCAGTACACTGTTTGGGCATTGACCTAGATTTACAACCTAGTTACAATCAAACTAAGGAGGCAAACTTACATTCCTCATATCACAAGCTTGGGGGTAATGTATTCATCTTACACCTAATTCCTATGTTGTAAGATAGTGACAGTAAGGGGAAACACTTAGTAAGGGAATGCAGTGATTGTCCTTGTAGACTTTCGATTCTTTATGCATGGACTTCAGCAGACTGAATATTGACTTGTTGGCTAGTGCACTGAAGTGTGAGTTTTGCCGCAGCACAAAAAAACCTTCTGAATGGCTGGTTCCTGGCAGGTTTCTCCATGCTCACTGGATTCATTTTTCAAGCATGAAGGCTGCTGATTCCACTTGGTAGGCTGTAGTGTTGGTTGGTGATGTGTGCTGTTCTGCTGTCCACCCTTACTGTCTCTACTGCTGCTGAAAGGCTGTCCGTCCTGGGCTGTACTAGAACTGAACAGCAGCCCTGCAACGTTCATGTTGACCCCAGCAGCCAGCTCCTGGTGCCCGCTCAGCTGCTCTGCTAGATTAGGTGTCGATGAGGTGTTTCTTAAACCCTGATACCGATGTTTTTTCTTGGACCGTTTCTTCTTTGTGCCATCTGTGCCCTAAAAGATCAAGTAAAGCACCAATAAGCCATCAATTATCATTGTGGTGTTACTGAAATTTCCCAACTTAGGCCATGATGATTTCATTATATGGATGACATGCACACTCACATGAATTTTCTTCCTTTTCCAATAAAAAAAGTTTTTGACCATACTGTAAATCATACAAAGCAGTTGTAAAATGAGCAAATATATGTTGTCAATTGCAAAACAGTATTGGAAAATGATACTAATGTTGTAGAATGCAAAAATTTAAATCAATTCCAAAGGGAAATGTGAAGAAAAGTGAAGAAATGAAAATAAAGAGTCTATTATTTGCCATACCATACAGTCATTTGTGTTTTCAGTCATTTGTTCAACCTTCATGACCATATGATAGATTCTCATAATAAAGGCAACATTTTTTGCCAAATTTTTATGGATACTAGGGGTGTTCAAAAAGTTCCCGACCTCACCTAGAAAACATCATGGCAGAAAAATGTTTCTTACACTATATTTATACAATATAGTCCTCTCTAACTGCAGTGCACTTGGTCCAGTGATGTTGCAGCTTTGTTTTCCCCTTGTGGAAGAAGGTTGCATCTGGAGCCCCCAGATAGGGCTCAACTGCTCGCAATTCTGTTGCATAGTACTCCCCATTTTCTAAGTGAGGCCGAGAACTTTTTGAACACCCCTCGTATCAGTATCACTACCCCCATGCAGACCCTACCCATGTATTCCCTATCATACTTTCGGCATAAGTGCTGGATAAACACGCCAAGGCACCAAATTATTTAAAAGATATCAAAGAACAAAATTTAATAAAAATACAATTGGTGGCAACCCCCGTTACAGCATCACAACTCTGCTTTTCCACACACTAGTGATCAGTCTCCTTCCAACATTGATGGTGAAATCAACCCTTTAACTGTAAAGTTAGTAATACCTTTATCTGTCTATTACACTGTGGTTCCACAATAACCAGCCTGTCCTCTTCACCATCTGTAAGTAAAGACAAAGAAAGATTGTCTCAGTCTCTAGAAAACAGCACAATCATCATTGCTCAGACCATGAATAGAAGATTTCCTAGGCCTGGTTAACATTTGGCACTGGTTAACACCTATAACTTACATTTTAAATGGAGACCATACAGAAAACTTATTAGAAAGACTAAAACATACATGTATCGATATAGCCGGTATAACCGCCCTTTGGCGTAACACACCAACTTCGCAGGCACGCAGCGCGGCGGCAGCTAGCTATATCACAACGAACGACTTGTTACACTCAATCTTTGCACATTTGATTGCAAGAGTTGTTTAAAGCTTTCTAGTGATGATGCCCCAACTGTGCTTGGTGGCAACGAGTTCCAGTCTACGATAGTTCTGGGGAAATACGACTTTTTGAATACCTCAATTCTTTTGGTTGATAACTCTGATATTTGAAGGCATGACTGTTTCTTATTCTTTTCTGGGCTGGTATCAGATACTTAGTGATTGGTACATGCACCAGTTTACTAGTCATTTTGTACATCATGCACAGTCTGGACATTTATGTATAGTTGCATACTGTCAACATACAAACATGTCACTGACAAGTACCTGATCTTCGTGGAGGCAGGTCCTCTGTCCTTGTTGTGACTCCCAGCCCGTCCCTGTGATGATGTAGATGTTCCTGAGTCTTCTCTCCCTGACTGTTACTGAGCTGTGGTGTGTGTCCAGGCCGTGTGTGCAGACAGACCATGAACACCACTGCCAGGCACAACACCTCCACTACCATCAGGAAGATGTGTCTTTCTATGACCTGGAGAACAGAAGAAAACAGGACAGCTTGGAATCTTTCTACATATACAGAATAGAACATGAAACAGTTGTGTGTTGATTGTCGGTAATTATATGAGGTTACTGGTTACAATGTTAAGTTAAACCTCCTTGTTAAACCTTATTGGCATAATTACTGAGTCAAAATAAAAATGAAATCCACACACTAAGTCAGTCATTTCTACGCCCTATTTCATGGAAGTATATGTATGAGGATCTGGTCTAAGATCTCTTGCTTTGTTTTGTGTTGAGTTCCCAAATGAATAATGTTTTGTTTGTTTGAGTGATTTGACACTCAAAAACAATAAACCCTGGTGTTAATGAAATGCACAGATATTGCAAGTGGGGCACCAACTTGTATGGACTTAAATAACTTAAGATGTTAACGGAATGTCGAATAAAGTTGACAGTACTTTAAGTTACAAGTTAAACTTAAAAGTTTTTGTGTCTCAAGTCTAAAGTTCACAATCATACAACTGTCATTGAAATGTACAGAATAGCAATTTTTGAAATTAGATGAACTGATTTTTCAGGCACACCTACCTTAATTTATGATTCTCAAAAAATGACAGCTTACTGTAATTCACTTTATTTTCACAATTATTATACATGTAGCAAACTTTTAACGCCTGACAAAATGGAGGTGTTCATAAGTTCACAGTGGAGGCAGGTGGGAAAAAAGGAAGTCGGTGAATTATTTGTTGACGGGAATGATAAGTTTGCAGTACAGAAGTGACTGTGAAAACCACAAACATAAAAATACTGCAAAAAAATTGTGAATGACAGTATTTGCCATAGGAAGTTACCAAAAGTTCATGGACTTTGATCAGATGTCTGAGAAAAATGATTTTTTTTGGAGTGGTAAAATACTGGAACATTATATAGAATGAACTGGGCATATGATAAAGCTTGTATTAATGACATCATCTCAAAAGCCATAAGTGTGGGCATCAGTATCTTAGAAACCAGAAAATGTGCAAAAAAAATCATCAAAATGGCAATTTCTTGTATGTCCTATGTGTGGTTATATCTTAACTTCAGACTCTTCTTACTTCAGCGGTAACAGTTACAGAACTCAGCAACGTACTGGGGTCTGTGATTTGGCTCATATCTATCTAGTCGTAACAAGCAAATTATGTACAATTTTGCATCTACATTGTACATACTTAGTTACATAGGTAGGCTAACAATGTATCTGTAACATGTACTGTCCAAATCCTGTCCAGAGGGTACCTAAAGCAGAGTTTCTGATGATACATGTACATTGTGCAAAACCCACCTTCCTATGTAGGTTGTCTCTGTCAGTGTTGAGGTGTTGGACGTCGGCTGTCAGGTTCGTAATGCTAGCAACCAGATTTGCAATGATTTCTTGCTGTCGAATATCCTATCCAACAACAATATTAATTAATAAGCACACCTGCATGTTGATAAGTTCACCAACAGGTTTACAGCTGAAATGTACATCTTGTTGAAAGGGAAGAAACAAAATCTACTATTTGGCCACATCAACATGAACATTTACATGTTAAGTGGTTCTCAGAATCTCTGCATGAATTGATAATGGGCTCTCTGTTAACTCTAAGTTAAACTTTAAAAAAATGCAGTGAATAGTTGTATCCATGAGGACTGTGTGTCAGTTTGGTGATCTGGGGCATCACATGGCCAAAATCCCACTGTACTGATTTTAACAATCATGATGCAGCTCCACTGGAATTCATACAATCATACATGTGGTAGTACATTGCTGAATGTGTGAATGAAGTGCACAAGCATAGACATGCACAAACAGAAAGGATCTCACCCTCTCTTCAGCTTTTCTGGAGTTGTTAGTGAGTTTAGAAATGGTTTTGTTGAAGGCTTTCTGCATCTCGTCCATCTGCTTGCGGTATCTGAGTACAAAGAAATCATCACAGGTGACACAGGTAACATCATAGGGAACACTCACATCAACTCTCACTGTTCACAAGTGTTTACCATGATAGCAGAATTAAAAGGTAACATTCAGTCTGACTAAGACAAGGTTTGTCATTTGTTGATGTTTTGGTTGTCGACAGTCACCAAGAAATTTAGAAACTGTTCAGGAAACAGCAACTGATGACTGAGTATTTGCCAAATCTATTATTTGACTGTCCTCAGTCATGGTTTCTTTGAATGTGATATTACAAGTCAGAAAACAATGAACCATCATGGCAAACTTGCAACAAATGCTTCTGAGTGAAGCCACAAGGAATGTAAGAATGAAAAATAAAGATTTTTATAATAAAAAATGATTAAACTTCAACACACTCAGGCAAATAGGCAGGCAACACTGGGCCTGTCTAGCTCATGTGTCAGTTTTATATGCGATAATGGCTAATATGATTATCCTTTAAACTTATAAAGTTAATGAACTTCTTTCCTTCGGCAAACTAATAATAATAAAAGTTATGAAATAAAGACTAAGCTTTAACTTCCAACACTTAGATTACAGAATTGGGACTTACCCCAAATTTTCTGTTGACTCCATCAACCTTGTTCATGTCTCTGACGTTACGTTCCAAGAGTAGACGGGTCCATTCCGTGAACAAGGTTGATGGAGTCAACTGAAAATTTGGGGTAAGTCCCAATTCTGTATCTAAGTGTTGGAAGTTAAAACTTATTATTTCATAATGACTTGTACCAACACAGATGAACTTTCATGCTAAATAACAAAAGTTAATGAACTTCTTTCCTTCGGTGTATACTAATAGTGTCATAAGGCATTATCAATTCCCATAACCTCACCATATTCATTATACACCTCCAGCTTCGGACGGGTCAGTAACCCTTAATTGCACTACCAAAACCATGTCTTTTCGCTTTTCATACTCTCTTGTACACGTGTATTCCTAGTTACCCACGTTTAAGTTATCTGGTTATAATACCACAAGGGCACAGGAGAAAAATGTTTCTGGTCTGAAAATAACAGGTCATTTTGCTAAAAAAAGGCTTTAATGCATTTGCCTAAGAAATGCCAGGAAAAAAAGATGTATTTACTTCTCATATATTTGTACATGTATCTGTGGTATGGAGTAAAATATTACTACATTCATTGGTACGTAACTGTCAGTGACTGTGAGTTACCTATTCCAAAAAACCATAACTACACTAAGTCTTGCACATGCGAAAAAATCATGTTTTGGTGACAGAACATTCATCAAAAGTTAACATAAAATTCATCTTCCAGGTTTTACTCTAGAAGCTCTCACCTCTGACTGAGTTCCTCCAGATACCTGCTGCTCAGAGACATGTTCAGCTCCAAAGCCTTGATCCTGTTGTTCAGTCTCATGATCACTGACTCCTTGCCCGTGTGCCCTCCATGTGAAATGTGTTGAGCACTCGTGCCGTTCTCATTCTTTTCAGCATAAAAGTCTGATGCGTTTTTGGTCTGCTTGTCCAGTGCATCCATACTTCCATTCTGTACAGTAGCAAGGGCAGGCTCTGGTAGGCTTGATTCCTGGGGATCCTGGCTTGCACTTGTGACAATATCTTCTTTAGTATCTCTGTCAGGTACATGTGTTTGCTTTGTCCCCCCATTCTGAGAAGAACCAGTATCAGATGCACTTGCAGAAGTTTCTGACTCACTCTGACTTTGGGCAGTATCAGTTACAGGGGGTTGACTGCCCTCTGCACTGCTGCCTTCCATAGCTGCTGACGTAGTGCTGGAGTCTGTCCCCTCAGCTGTAGGTTCATCTTCCTGCACAGCTGAGGGACTCTCACTCCCCTCCTGTGGAGACATGACAGGCTGCTCCTGCTGCAGATTGTCTTCTCCAGTATGAACAGCCTCTGCTGGACTGCTGTCCTGTCCGTGCTGTAAGGTGGGAGATGTGGTGGACATTTCAGTACCTGCTTCAGAGACAGCCACCGTGTCATTTCTTGAGCTGACAGGAAGCGACTGTTCCTCCTCCCCTTCAGCAGACTCACTCAGGACCTGTTCTGTGCCTGGAGCAGGAGGCTCGGAGGGCAGAAGGCCGCTGATGTCCCCATCCTCATCCTTCTTACTCAGGTCAACAACATTGGAGTTTAATGATGTCCCCTCATCATCGTGTGTGTCTGTTGCGATGACCACATGTTCTACTGGAGGTGTGACAATCATCTGCTCTTCTTCACATGAGGTTTGAAGGATGAGTTGGTACAACAAACACAAAGCTCTCCCCTGGCACTTTTGCACAGCTTGCAGCTCACTACAAGTTGGACACTGCTTGATGACAGCCCACTGTTTCTCCTGCAGCAGGTCAACAGAAGGTGTACTGCCCTCTACAATACCAGACTCCACCAAGGTAACAATCCCTTCAGATAGCTGCTCACTGGCAGGATCAACTGGTATGTTCAGATCTGCTCTTCCTTCCTGATCGCTGTCTCCAAGACTTACAGTTGGTTGAATGGAATTTTTGTCTTGAACAGAACCTGTCTCTTCCTGGAGTGAGGGATCCAGTGGCAGAAAAGCCAGCGGTGGTGTTTGGTCCTCAGATGTCTCTGTGCTAAATATAAGATAATCTGAATTGGTTTCACATCGTTATGAGAAAATTTGAACTGTAATTTCTGACAGAAGAAATTTTTTTCAACTGAACAACCCCAGTCTTTCTCAAGCTATGAGCAATCCACCACTTAGGTGACATCACATCACATTGCTACATGACTAATCTTGCAACAAAACCCTGCAGCTTCAGTACCCTAGAAAACTGGAGGCGCACAATTGACCCTGTCCTTTTAACCTGCCAGTATTAGACCAAGGAAGGAGGTTAAACCTTGATTAGATCCACATACAAAATATCATTTGGATCCACCCACAACCTTTCAAGTTATGCTGTCTACATGAGGGCACCATAAACATTGTAGGTGTAAGTAAAATGGATAAAACCAAGTTGCAGCAGACATGTGTATGAAGGGTATATTTTTTAAATTTCTATTTGACATCTAAACAAAATAGAAGCCCTACTGTTTGACTGTAGAGTGTGCGGCGCTGGTTGGAGTAGGCTGGATGCTTCTGCTATCCTTCCCAGCACCATCATGGTCTGCCACTGACACATTCACTGTTCTGTTGATATCTGAAGTTGAGAAAGGGAACTTGTGTAAGGATGGAAAGTGTGGTATTATACTGAGTTTTTACCTACATGTAGCTCACTCCAAAGTTGTGAAACTGTACCTGCTGCCATGGTCAGGCCTTACTGAGTGCTTCAGGAGGAAGTTCTTGCTCCCTTTCTTTTCATCATACTCATAGATTACCTGATGAAGAAACCAACTGAAGAGTACTATGATCATAGCTACTTACTTTAGCTGTGTGACACATCCTTGCTTTAGCTGTGACACATCCCTGCTTTAGCTGTGACACACCCCTGTTTTAGCTGTGTGACACATCCCTGCTTTAGCTGTGTGACACATCCCTGCTTTAGCTGTGACACACCCTTGCTTTAGCTGTGTGACACACCCCTGCTTTAGCTGTGTGACACATCCTTGCTTTAGTTGTGTGACACATCCTTGCTTTAGCTGTGACACATCCTTGCTTTAGCTGTGACACATCCTTGCTTTAGCTGTGACACACCCCTGCTTTAGCTGTGACACATCCCTGCTTTAGCTGTGTGACACATCCCTGCTTTAGCTGTGTGACACACCCCTGCTTTAGCTGTGTGACACACCCCTGCTTTAGCTGTGTGACACATCCCTGCTTTAGTTGTGTGACACACCCCTGCTCCCCTGCTTTAGCTGTGTGACACATCCCTGCTTTAGTTGTGTGACACATCCTGCTTTAGCTGTGTGACACACCCCTGCTTTAGCTGTGTGACACATCCCTGCTTTAGCTGTGTGACACACCCCTGCTTTAGTTGTGTGACACACACCTGCTTTAGTTGTCTGATTTACATCCTGCTTTGCTTCACCAATATGCCATACAACGCCATAATGGCTAAAGTAGGGTACCGTAAGGTTTTAGAATCTTGCACCTGTTCACCACGGTTAAAATGATTTCATGACTGGAACAAATGTTTAATCCTTGATCTTTACACTGCAGCTACTGGTGAACAATAAGATTGTCAGCCTGGACCTGCTTGTACAAGATGTCTACAGGAAGATATGGTGTCCAGAGCATGAGGTTAGTTCTGAATACTTCTGAATCTAAATCAGTAAGATGTTAAAATCAGAATCATCAACTCATTGCATCCATAGGATTTCAATACATAAAATGCATAAAGACTTAAATTAAGTTAAGGTGCACTGAAAAGAGTGATATTTACATTGGGAGGGCAGGGTCAGAATTCACAGTATATATGGATCTCCAAGTGAGGTCTGGAGTCTGGTTTTGAAGGAAGTAATGGTGGGAGCTGTCACAGTGTGAACATTGGTAGGTAGCGTGTTCCAAAGCAAAATGGTTCTAAGGAAGAAGGTTTTTTGGCCCTGTGCACTTTTGGATAATTGTGCTATCAAGTGATCCTGCTTTGTGGTTTGTCCAATGGTTGTTTGAAAAATGATATGTTTCACCTGGCCATACATCTGGAGGGGTACTTGGGGGGTTGCCAGAAAATTGATGTCATGTGATATACAAGTAACCACTGCCTAGTCCAAACTCAATGACATTGTTAAGTTGCCAATATGATTAGACTTGGGTCTGCCTTTAACTAGTCTTGTACTTCACCATGTTGTATTGCAGGGTGAAGCCATGAGAGTTGTGTACAGGATGAGAGGTGAGTTTAACAGTGATACTGGTACATGTTTGTGAAGCTGACCTTAGGCCACACCAATTTAATTTCTTGGTTAACGGAATCGCCTGCTTCATTTTTTTCTGATTTGCAAATAAAAATAAAAATTCAGAATCAACTGCAAATTGCTCAATATATTTTGCCCTGCACAGTTGAAAACAGTCCTTTTCATCCTAGTTGAACTCAACTTGTTATTTCACCTTTCAATGCAATGGTATCATTGAAAGTTTAAAATTCATTGTTTAAATTTTAACCAGCCTGGTGTGTTGACTTCATGGCTTCTAT